AATGGTGAGTTAAAATTAGCAAATTTGGAGGGGGGACATATAAAAAGAAAAATATAAAAAAAAAAAAAAAAAAAAAATAAAAAAGAAAAAAAAAATAAAGACCTTTCTTTAGGATTTTATTTAAGAAAAAAAAGAAAGGTGTCTCCCCATATTGTTCTAGGCGGGTAGGGTTACTTGCCCTTCCCCCCACCCGGGCCCAGGTTCGAGTTCCGGGATAAGGAATTTGGCTTTGCTTTTTCCATTCCAAGTATAATACCTCTCGTGTGCTGGTGGTACGACGTTCGAGATGATGTATGGCGGTGATGAAGAGTAGTTCGCCTCGCCCCCGCAGGGGCAACGACCGGGCGGAGGTTAGAGCTGGCAGGAACGTACTATATTAAATTCAGGTATAAAACACACCATCTCTGGTTGAGTAAAGATTCCTGGGAGGGTGCTCAACTGGCAAAATTGGAAGGCGGCCATCGCGGCCTGGCTTGGGGTGGGTGCGCTTGTTTACGGATGAAATATGGGTTTGTTTGGACTTTTGTCGGGCTTTTTTTTGAATAAATAGAAGAGTGCTCCACAAATAGTTTGGGGAGATAAGATTGCCTTGGTTTCTCCCCCCCGCGGACCGGGGCTTGGGGTTTGAAATTGGAGTGGAAATTTTTGCTATGCTTTTTCAAATTCTTCGTTCCGCCACGTATATAGCGCTCGCTGTGCTTGCTGGTACGACGCTCGGATGACTGTATGGCCGGTGATGGAGAGTAGCTCGGCTTAGCACTCGCAGGGGCAACGACCAGCCGGTAGGTAAGCGTGGCGAGAACGGCGGTATCTAATTCAGGTTTAAAACAACAGCTCCTGCGTGGTAAAGGTCTTTGAAGGTGCTAAATGCAAAGTTGAAGGCGGCAATGCGCGTGGCCTTGGTGTGGTGCGCTTGGTTGTGTGTAAGTATGCGTGTGTTTGGCCTTTTGTTTGGCGTTTGTTTTGATTAAAAGAAGGTGCTCCCAAATAGTCTAGGCGGTTAGGATACGTGGCTTTCACCCACGCGACCCGGGTTCGAGTCCCGGTTTGGGAATTTTGCTTTGCTTTTTCAATTCTTCGTTCCGCCATGTATATAGCGCTCGTTGTGCTTGCTGGTACGACGTTCGGATGACTGTATGGCCGGTGATGGAGAGTAGCTCGGCTTAGCACTCGCAGGGGCAACGACCAGCCGGTGGGTAAGCGTGGCGAGAACGGCGGTATCTAATTCAGGTTTAAAACAACAGCTCCTGCGTGGTAAAGGTCTTTGAAGGTGCTCAATGCAAAGTTGAAGGCGGCAATGCGCGTGGCCTTGGTGTGGTGCGCTTGGTTGTGTGTAAGTATGCGTGTGTTTGGCCTTTTGTTTGGTGCTTGTTTTGGTTAATAGAAGGTGCTCCCAAATAGTCTAGGCGGTTAGGATACGTTGGTTTCACCCACGCGACCCGGGTTCGGGTCCCGGTTTGGGAATTTTGCTTTGCTTTTTCAATTCTTCGTTCCGCCACGTATATAGCGCTCGTTGTGCTTGCTGGTACGATGTTCGGATGACTGTTTGGCCGGTGATGGAGAGTAGTTCGGCTTAGCACTCGCAGGGGCAACGACCAGCCGGAGGGTAAGCGTGGCGAGAACGGCGGTATCTAATTTGGGTTTAAAACAACAGCTCCTGCGTGGTAAAGGTATTTGAAGGTGCTGGATGCAAAGTTGAAGGCGGTAATGCGCGTGGCCTTGGTGTGGTGCGCTTGGTTGTGTGTGAGTATGCGTGTGTTTGGCCTTTTGTTTGGCGTTTGTTTTGGTTAATAGAAGGTGCTCCCAAATAGTCTAGGCGGTTAGGATACGTTGGTTTCACCCACGCGACCCGGGTTCGGGTCCCGGTTTGGGAATTTTGCTTTGCTTTTTCAATTCTTCGTTCCGCCACGTATATAGCGCTCCATGTGGTTGCTGGTACGACGTTCGGATGACTGTATGGCCGGTGATGGAGAGTGGTTCGGCTTAGCACTGGCAGGGGCAACGATCAGCCGGTGGGTAAGCGTGGCGAGAACGGCGGTATCTAATTCAGGTTTAAAACAACAGCTCCTGCGTGGTAAAGGTCTTTGAAGGTGCTGGATGCAAAGTTGAAGGCGGTAATGCGCGTGGCCTTGGTGTGGTGCGCTTGGTTGTGTGAGAGTATGCGTGTGTTTGGCCTTTTGTTTGCCGTTGTTTCTGATTAAAAGAAGGTGATCCCAAATATACTAGCCGGTTAGGAGACGTGGGTTTTCACCCACGCGAGCCGGGTTCGGGCCCCGGTTTGGGAATTTTGGCTTTGCTTTTTACAATTCTTCGTTC